TGTCGGCTACAACTGAGAAGTTGTTGATTTATTTTCAAACGCTTAAAGAACCGTTCCTTCACTCCCTGCTATACACGCAAAGGGAGCAGTACCGGAGACTTTGTGGCAGGAATTTTCTGGGATTTAGGCTCATTAACTGTAGTATCACAGAGTTTTGAACAACATCTATTTTTTTCATTAAAATGATCTAAGTTTGTTTTTCATTGTCAAATTCTAAAATATCACCACTCACGAAATTTGAAGAAAAAACGTATTTCGTACCATAGAAGATAGAAGGTACTCAAATCGTTCCATTACTGACCATTCTGTTTGTATGTATTTTGAAAAATATTGTAGCTTAAGGGCCCGTTTATAGAATATTTCAACTGAGATTCAGTTAATCACGGATTTAACGAGGCGTTTAGCGTCGCCTGATTGGCGTTGAGTCGGTCACGTGGTATTTTAATGACCGAAAATAAAAAATCTTGTACTAAAAGCGAGTACAGCAGTTCTGAAATGACCTGTATTAACAATAATGGAAGCTTAAATTAGGTTATTTTCGCCAGTTAAAGAATTTATAAACAAATAAATCTTATACGTACCACGAATCATTTAATTTTTTATTTTTTTTATTTTAATTAGTAATGAACTTACGATTCTAAATGTCTCTTCCAGATTCGCCAGCAACAGCATTAAACTTGCACAAATAGTTCAAATGGAATTTCCTATATTGTTTGAATCGTGCTGTATCATTAGTTCATATGGCTATTTCTGAACAAACTACTACTTTGATATTTAGACTACAAACCATTTGTTTATTTTTTTCAGAAATATGCAGACTTTCTAATACAATAATTAAACATGTTCTGCATTCAAAATGATCAGGAACTTAAAATAAACAAAATATAGATGACCACACTCTTGGGCGTAATTTTCCTGTCATTTTGAAAATTTTGATGTAGTCCATGCTTTATTGTCACTTTGATATTTGAAGTTTAAAAGATTTGTCACGTTGCATCCAGTGTTAGCATGCCTGCAGCTTCAAAAATGACAAAACTGAAAAACAAAGTTACAATATTTAAAGGTGTTTTACATTTTGTGACAGAGGAATGACACTGACGTCCAAAATTTTCTGGCCGCGACTGTATATCTGCTACAATTTTACATCAAGCAAACATGGATACAACAAGTGCAAGAGCACTCATTTATTGTATGAAAGCTGAAAATGTATCAATAAATTAAGTGCACCTGTACTTTCTGACAGAGTATGACAATTAATTTTTAAAATTATATACAGGCCACTGCTTCAGTACAAAATGAAGCTCTTGTAAATTTCATTCATTTCATTCAAGAAAATTTGACTCTGGATAAAATTTTGGAAGCAACGCCTGCATCTTACAATTTAAGAGTAAAAAATGGCATGGCTTTCTTAGGAAGAAAGTTCTTCTTAATCTACAGTCATTTGCTATATGTTAAAATAAAAGGGTTAATGTGTGTCATAATAATAAAATACTGAAGTCGGAGCGACTGTTATTTCTTGTAAGTGTCAGGTTAAGATATTTTTTTGCCCTCTGTAGAACAACTAAAAATTAATTCATTTCATTTAAATGAAATATTCACTCCCATAAGGAAAATTAGATTTCAGGCCAATTTATTTCACATTTTAATATTTTAAAAATTATGCCGTGTATTTTGCAGTGTATTATAACCGAAGTGTTGATAATGGGTTAATGGGTGTCATTTAAAAGAGAAACACCGAAGGTGATGCGATTGTAATGTCTTTGTTATCTCTTGCAAGTGTTAGGTTTTCTCAGAGTTTTGTGCACTCTTCAAAGTACCCATAAGTTAGAACAGCATTTATATTTAGCGTCATTTTAAACACAAACAGTCCTCATTTTCACAATAAAAATCAAATTTCTGGAAAATCTCTTTCGCATTTTAGCATTTTCATTGAAGAAAATATTACCCTCTACAAAAGTTTAGAAATACGCTTTTCTCTGCGCTTTGCAAACACCGAAAAGTTTAGCGTTTATATTTAGAGTCATTTTAAAGGCAAAAACTTTTCATTTAAATGAAATATTCATTCCCATAATGAAAATTAGATTTCAAGACTACCTATTTCACGTTTTACGATTCTTTAAAAGTCGTGCAGGAAAATATGAGTGGCGGCTCTTTCTGCTACAAACGTCCTTAATGGTGTTCAGTCAAACAGCCATATATCCAAATGACAATCGGAATTTGTAACTATTGATTTTGTATTGATTTTGACACGTAAAAGTGAGGTTGTACGGGATTTATGCGAGCATGATTGTACAGTCGCAGCCATAGAAAATCACTTTGACATACACAAAGTTTTAGTTCTGATTTTTTTTTTAATGTCACAACAATTTGAACCTACGCTCCTGATTTAAAAAAAGTGGCAGTGACTTTGTCAAATTTATCTGATTTGTCAAATAAAACATTAATCCCACCTTAAAATTTTTAAAATTTTGAAGTGTGTGCCAAAACCTAAGGGCCCAGTTGTCTATGCCTACGATCGTACTTACAGTCATTTGCAGTGTGTTAAAGCCGATGTATTGATAATGGGTATGGTTTAAAGGAGTTTAAAAATCTTATCTTTTGTGTTAGGTTAAGATTTTCTGTAAGCTCTGTACGCTCTGTAAAAATTAGAACGGTGTTATTTTAAAGACAACAATTCCTACAGTAAGAATCAGATTTCAAGACATATATATATATAAGGCATCACGACCTTTTTAGACCGCAGCGAACCATGGAAGTAGTAGTCTAGTAATTTGGTTGGTAATAAACATCACTAAACTAAAGTTTCTTGAATTGAGTTTATATTGATTTAGAATGAGTTTAAATGAGTTGTGTCAGAAACCTAACTATTGTCACCAGCTTACTATAACAGGATTTACAAAAACCCCAAGCCATTTCGATTGGATTGTATTGACAGTGGTTGGAGGTTATCAAAGGACCTCATGATCACTTTCCCCCAAAGTTTCATCTCAAAAAGGTTTTTCAGATTTTTCGAAAAATTTTGATCAAATTCAATACTGACCTGACTCGACCACGCTTGCATCTGACTTTTTCTGTTAGAAAATGTGCATGCTTTGTCTAACTGCAGCCAATGATATGGTGTATCATCCATTACCATCATATATTTTCGTTGCAACTTGTTCAAATCAGGAATACGGTGATTAACCACCCAATTTTGAAACAGTATCCCGTCAATCCTTTGTGGTAATCTCCGTCGTTACTTTTCGAATTTAATAAAAAGTTACATCCTTTTGAAAAGCCCAAACGACAATTTGCGTGACAGATTATATCAAAATCTTGAACCTTCATTTGTAATTTTGCTGGATTACTTTTCAATTCTGAATCGTGTGTGCAACGACAAATGGAGGAACCGGTTTGGTACCCATGATTCGTCGATGTATAAAAATGTTACATCTTTACTAGAAACTAGAATTCGAAGAAATTTTCTTAAAAAAGTAATTTTAGCTGCAATGAGATGTTTTTGTACCAATGAGATTTTGTGACAGTTGATTTTCCTTTTTCTAACCCAAGATATTTTGAAAATAAACATGTACGACATTATTTTTAACTTTACTTACTCGATTAAAAAAATAAAAAAACGATTTTTCTGGTACCTAAAAAGTGACAAACTAACGTGTATGTCAGATGTCACATAAAAAACACGTCACTCAGTCATAGTAGCCAACATTAATAAAAAAAGCATGGCCTACTGAGGCCCAAAATGTTATTTTAACATTTTTAAAAATTGCTGTCAGTGTTTAGCCGTCTATTTCCATTGAAGAAAATATTACCCCTAAAACAGTTTAGAAAGACCCCTATGACAACAAGTTTTCTGCAGGAAAAATTATGGGTATCGTGGTGGCTGGTCTTTGTGTTTAAAACGTCGTTAATTTAGTTATTTACAGTATGTTAAAACAGAAGTGGTGCTAATGATTGTGATTTAAGTGAGTTTAAAAACTGAGAAATGAAATGGCAAGTTAAATCCTTGTTGTCTCTTGAAGTGTTAGATTAAGATGTTCTCTGAACTCTGCAAAATAGCGAAGAATTAGAACAGCGTTTATATTTAGCGTCATTTTAAAGGTAAAACCTTTCATTTGAATGAAATATTCATTCCTACACTGAAAAGTTTATTTGAAATTCGTGTTGGCGTTTTAGGTACGTAGGCGTACTTATTGATAAAAATCCATAAATAAAGTCAAATAAAAGCAAATTATATTTAACAATGGAACAAACGTAAAATATGAAGAATGAACACGGGCCACCATCATATCCATATGTATTTATGAAGATGTGACCGGAAATGCTTCGTTACAGTTGTTTAAAAGTGGAATTAACCTAACTTCTAAAACTATGTACTAATTTATTAAACATTCCTAAATTCGTGTCTCGTTCCATATTTCTTAAACTCGTTAACTTTCTGCAAACTAGTTAAATTACGCAGTCTCGTCAACCTAAAAACTCTGAAATACGCGCGTTGAGAAAAATGATATTTTTATCGGAATTTTTGCTTGTGTATGGAAATTTATGTACGGAATGTAAGAGCTTCAGTATTCTCAAATCAGCACAAAAATGCGGTTTCAATACAAAAAACGCCAAACAAAATATAATTATGCAAACATCGGTTATTTTAGCTAAAAATGTGATATAAATACTCTAGTTTTTAATCTACGTAACATTTGAACCGGAGACCTTTCAGCCAGTAAAAGTCTACGAATTTTTTGCGTTATTTGTGTTTATGTAATTTGACGTGATTGCTGGAAAAATAGAACTCGACCTTTGTACTTTCAATTAATATCGTTTTTAATTGCTGCTTGGAAAACTGTAGCTTTGGAAATTGTAAAAGATCAATACTTTTTTCCACGTTTGTTGGCGTGCAAATAATAAAAAGATTTCACCATCGCGGATAAGGATATCAAATCGCGACAAGTCTCTCATTACCATAAGACATTGTATTACCTTACAAATTTATTCCTCAGTTTTGCGCCTTACCTTAGAAGAAAGCAACGTTTTAAAATCCACAGCGCACAAGAACTCAGTTTTTAGCATCATTAGTTTCACGTGGTCTGCAAATTCGCGTACATACAACACACCGCATGTTTGCAAGTTCACCGACAACTAGTCGCTTTTACACAACCTCTAGCTCGAACGCTGAATTGGCTGGGTGCGATCCCATGATGGGAGCACACATGTGGTTTACATTTGAATACTTACTACGAGCACTTGACTGGATTAGAGCGTCAATAATCTTATTAAAAAACGTTTACAAACCATCACCCCAATTATCCAATGTGGGGCCCCCGTGTAAATCAAAAACTACCAACGGAAACGCATCTGACCCTTTTCGGAAGGTGACCAAGGAAGTCGTAAACACACTAAAACTGTGGAATTTAGTGAAATCTAAGAGGAATTATTTAGTGCAACAAACATCCAAATGCGTGGTTTTTGCGAGTAAAGTGTTTATGCCATTGCAAACACGAGGTGAGATGGTCTACCACGGTTGTAAACAACTTAATAAACACACAAACAAGGACAGATTATTGGTTTTGTCATCAATACTTCGTACAACTTTTTGATAACTGATTTCATGCTGTTGTTAGTTTCATCATAGGTTCGAAATTTTTCCGTGATGCACGTAGTTTTTCTTTCTTTTATTAGCTGTCCTTGCAGGGCTATGCAGTTAAACTTCACTCAGATCCAAACACGTAACCGGCTGCATATTTAGATATTTATTTATTGAGAAAAATACATAATCAGTTTTGGACGATTACCAAAATAATTATGAAAATGAAAAGATCAAACCAATTCTGATTTATTACACCGAATTTCGTTCAATAAAGGTATATTTAATTATTTTCTAAGACGACGTCATTAACTTTTTGTGGAGATAAAGAAATTAATTTCTATGTATTTAATGTTATACCAGTCACAAAATGTTACTATGTGAGGTAGTCGGATAAAAATAAAAAAACAAAATGAATCGGTTCAAACATTTTTTTTAACTGATTAATTTGTAAACAGTTCCAAAAGAAAACAAATTACTCAAGTATAAGCAATACAAATTTCGGAGCGCATATTTCATCAAAGATTTATTTAATTAAAAACTTTTTAATGTGATGTCATTGCTCTTCCAGGTCATGAATAAATCAATTTTCGTTAATGTTCGGCAATATCTAAATCAAGATTTAGTATGCAGTCTAACAAAATTTATAACAAGTTATGTTATCCAATTTATTTAGGTGATATAACCCCTACATAACTTTAAAATCAATCAAAAGAAAATTTAATAATAATAATAATAAAAATAAATAACACTCGATGCTGTCCGTAAAAACATACAATTATTGGAAGTCACCGAAATCTGACAAAATGGATAAATCCTTAAACCATTTCCTTCTAAACCTATCCAGATTATCAAGAAATTTAAATCATGTTATAAAACATTTAAAACCAAAAGATAGCAACACAATAAATCCATTAAAATACAATACTAACCTCATGTATAATGCAAAAAATTTATCAGCATTGTTCTAACTACGATACTGTTAATGAAGAATAAAGGGCTCCATTAAAGTGTCCTTGGCTTGTACAGGACAATTGGTCATAGATTTCATCATCTGTGAACAAGCAGCAAAAGAAAGTAGAAACATATATTCTAATTTTATTGATTACAAAAAGCGTGTAATTCAATCGAGCATTCCTCATGATGCATAATCGGATGATTATTGTATTAAATAAACCCTCTTTCCTACTCCTCAACAGGTGCAATTACCATTTCAACATAAGATTTATCGACAAAACAGAGAATAGATTAAGTCTCTTGCTATATATAGAAAATATATGTAAATAAATTAATAATAAAAATCAGTTGACCAACTTGTCAAATCTAACAGAACAATTCCCTAAGAACACAGAAATGTGAAACTCAAGCAACAATTTCTTGAAAGACCAAAAGTGATGTTGAAGATAGAATTAGACAGAAGAAATTTGATGAAAGCAGTTAACATATTCTGTGTTCGCTGCTGACATTTTTGGAACAATAAAGTGTGAATACCACAACAAAAGTTTTCACATAATATAGAAGACATCATGCGAAATCATCCATTGAAAGATTTTCGATACCAAGAAATGATGGAGGAAAGGGTTTCCAGAGCTCAGAACAGAAAAAATATTTCCTCAGAAGAATAGAAAGGAATGGAGTGTTTGTCAATAATTTCGTCAATTCATTACTTCGTCTTAGAATCCACAATTAAGTCTTGCCTTAATGCCGCTTCTATCAGGGTCATAGTTCGGTCCATAATAGTAATCATTTGAATTTGAACCAAATGGAATAATAATAAATAAGTTTATAGTATTATGCGAACCGAAGTAAAAAATCACAAAACCTACAAACAAAGTTAGCAATTGTGACCAGTCTAAACGATAATTAATGTACTAGTTTACATAGTAGCATGACGGATAATAATTGTCGTTTAATGTACCTACAGTGTTCTAAACCAAATGCAGAACTTAACGCTGCATAAATTACTCCTTGAAATTCCTATTGTGTCTAAAAATAAACCCTAATAATTTATAACAATTGGATGTTATATAATTAGAATTACAATGGTTTGTAAATGATACGGTTGAGTCAAAAGTAACCCTTAAATCTTTTTTTATAACGCACTTACCAAGATTGTAATCGTTTATGTGATTATTGTAAACACAATTTTTGTGTATTCGAAATATCGACATTACTGGACACTTACTTTTATTAAGAAAAACCTTATTCACCTGATAAGGCACTCATAAAGTTTCCATTTCTGCCAAAGCTCTACAACTGTCTAAGTTATTAACCACTCTTGTAGGTTTCAAGTAGCCTCTATACAACAGCACCTGTAATAAAAATCGTTTACTAATATCATTAATAAAAATAAGAAACAATATTAGACCTAACTTGGATCCATACATAATTCCACCATATGAGAACGTACGTTGTCATGGATATGAAAAAATGAAAAAGTTAACAAGGTACTTATCACTATCATCATATATGTGAATTATTAAATCAACCACATTAATACAAAATCAGCTTTTTCATGGTTTATATGGCTTGATGAACATTTTTTGAGAAAGCGATTTAAATAACGATCTTTGCGAATGATAGATTAGAAGGATATGCCTTATACTATATTAAAGTAGAGTTAAAATTTGTCAAGAAATTTTTGACAGTTACAGAAGAATCGAAGATATGAAACGAGAATCGTTGCTTATTTGTCCAGAAAATGTACGTCCTACGTTATCAAAACACAAACGATCTTTGTACAAGATGTCTTCAAATTGTTTCATTAGATCTACTTAGACACAAAATGGTAGTAAAATGATTTTGTTTCGGACAACCGAATTACATGGATTAGGTACGTTGTGATTTTTAATTATCATTACATATTTCCACGATTTTTATTCATGGTAGGGTAAGTTTCAAATTAGCAATGTGTAAAACTATCCATTTTAAACTCAGTTTGAAGAGACTTCCAATATAAATAAAAAATAAAAAAAACAGCATACCCTTTTGCTTACTTCTATAAAATTTGCGTTTTTTTCTTCAGGTTAAAGCAGATGGCAGTTCAGATGATTCCTTTGAAAAGTTTAGGTCATTCAAGGGATTTAAATTCATATCATGTCACATTTCCTGTTCATAATTCTTCGGGAGCTCCGGTAAGTAAGGGAATAATCAGAGCGGGAGTACAAGGTGTATTTAGAAAAAATAGAAGTTGGTTGTGCGTAAATCAGCGGCAAAAGTCTTACATTTTGGTACTATTATGCTATACATGGGGCCCAAATATTTCAAGATATGATACTTTTGCAGATTTAACTGTGTAAAATTTTAGTGCTGTCATTCCCAGTTTATTTTTGAAGACGCCTTGTAAAATAGTACCAAATATAACACAACTCAAGCACGGGCAAGGACAACAACTACATTTTTTACAACTATTAAAGAATTGGATTTTCGTTTGAAAAATTCATGCGTTAGTTAAAACAATATTTATCACGAGCATTTGTAATGAATATGAATTTGTCTCTTACTTAACAAACATTTGAATCTACCACGAAAATATAAATGTACCTACTATTTGGAGAGTGGCTTAAACATATTTTATCTAAGAAGAAATTATCTAGATCGAACATGTGCGCCGCGGTTAAAAAAATATGTAGTTGGTCTTAATCCCACAGAAAAGTTTTGCGCAAACTACATGCGAGGCAAAGGTCAGTTACGCGCTGCGGTCAGAAAGATTGACATATACATTTAAGGATTAATATAGACCATTTAACAGTTGTTGACGTGGGTGTTGGTCAATTAAAAATAAATAATTAAGGAGAAATAAGTCATACTTTACGTATTTATTAATAATTAGATAGGTATGTATATAGAGCTGAAAGTATTTTTATTGTTCTTAAATTTTGTACGAATCGAAACACCTTTTACAAAATCAAATCTGCTGATCTTGTCGTTTTTATACATAAAAAACTAAGTCGTCCAATTTTTTCGTTCCTATGCTGCCAAACTTACTGCACTTATAATGCCCTATTTGCACACAAGTGTCGTTTGACGTTACTGGGAATTAGACCAGCCACAGGGGGTTAATTTACCGCTGTGCGCAAGTGACCAAGCCCGTCCAGGTGGACCTTTTTTTAAAAGAGTGAGGCCGGAAAATCTCTAATAACGATGAGGTAATATTTCATCTAAAAATTCCAAAAGATAAGTTCTGGAAAGCATGGTGCGTCAAGTTGTGAAAAGTTTTGAATTGTAGAATAATTAAAACTGAAGGTGAGCTTCATTGTAACAGTAATTTAAAACCACCGTAAATTTGAAAAAAAAGTGTGGGAATCTTCCTGTTTTGAGTTCGTATCCAGTATGTGTAGTTGTTATTATCTTAACATACTTATCATTTAAGGGTAAAATTTCAGGAATTGAACTATGTATGCTTCAGGTTATAGATATAGTTCTCCTAATTATTATAATCAACGCTAAAAATTAATTACAGTTCCCGCATTTTTTTTTTAATTCACTTTTCAACTGATTTGATTTTAATTATTTCATTGTTGTTTATGTGTTGTAACTCAAAAATATTTTTCTGTGCTTTTCATACCTTTGAAAAATTTCCACATATGTTGAATGAATAGACTACTCATACAATGCAATGTAATAAACATATCTCGAAGGACGTTATGGTGAATTGAATCAGCACCAACATGCAAATTATCCAGAAAATTAGTTGGCAGTTCAGCCTACTTACACAATTGATATAATTTTGCACTGTGGTATAATCCCGTTAATTCGTAAAAACAACTACCGGTAAAGTAAGAAAATTCGAGTTACTTAAAAGCTTAATATTAAGTTTTCTTGATGTTTCGCAATTCATAGAATAAGAAAATTCAAGTTTGCATTTTCGTATGTTTGGACCACTACCAGTTTGTTTTGACGGAAATATTATTAAAGGAGATTAATCTACCTACATAAGCGACTACTTTTAACGTTGATTTAGGGTTTATAGAATATTGAATAAAAGCATTGATGAATTCGTTTTAGAATTTTTAGTGAATGGTTGGCCATTACATGCATTGTTTTCTCTGCTTTAGCAATGTTCGCCTAAACTGATTTATTTTATCTATTATCTCAGAAACGCGTTATCAAATTTCCTTAAATTAATCGGTGAAATTTTGGAAATATTTGACTTGAAAATGAAATTTTTGAAAAATCGCGATAATTACCGTTGGTGAATCATCACTTAATTAATTCTTTTATGTATTTAGAAGCTCTTTTTTGTAAAATAGCGTATTTGCATTGCACTAATAAATTCAAATTTCGCATAACTTTTGCTGTAAGTCAAAATAGATACTTCCATACCTACTCTTTTTTTTTTGAACAATAAATTTTGCATTATTTGGTTTGAAGTGAAGTGTCATTAAAATCCAGTTCTTTTCTAATTTGAAACGAACAATAAACAAACATTTTCAAGAGATAATATAAAACCATAAAACCGGAATGGTTTATAGGCTTATCAGCTTGGTCTTAGCCGCATCTGTACAACCCTTAGCCACGTCTACCACCCTTCGGAATCCCTATAAATACGGAAGAAATGCAGTTCTTTGCTATAATGTCTTTGACAATCGACAACGGCATTGACTCTCCAGATCTTCCATAACACACATATCGGTAAGATGAATCTAGATTTTCTATATATTTTTTTTGAAAACTAACTATTTTCCTTTTTTGCAGATTAAGAATGGCAAACTCACAAACCGACTTTTTGAAGTACATGGAGTGTCCGGTCTGTCTGGACATTCTTCGTCTTCCTGTCCGTTTATGCGGAAACAGACACAGTATTTGCCATGACTGCCACTACCAAATACTGAAAACCTCGCAGATAGCAAAATGTCCAGTTTGTCAGGAAGACTTCGACTTCGACTCTTGCCCTGTCAAGGGGCAGTTGTATCTCACGATGGAGGTGACCTGCAGATTCATCGGATGCAAAATAAAGGGGTATGGCGCAGAAGTAATTCAACACGAAAGAAGATGTATCTTTCGACTACGACGATGTCCTTGGAAAGGGCCCCAGACGTGGTTAGCAAACCATTACTTCGTAAAACATGCATAGTAATGACATTTATTGACATATATTGTAAGCAAATTTTCAAAACCGATAATAAACTCAGTAATCAATAATAATTGAATGATTTATTTCGCCACCTTTGTTTGACACCGCTTCTAATGGATCGTCTGCACCAGAAAAAAAGTTTATGTCCGTAATTCGGACTCCCCCATGTCGGACTCTTCCCAGGTAGGTACCTAATCCACCCGACCGTGACCCCCGCGGTGTAAGTACTAATCCTTTACCTGCCTGCAAATTATGGATCGGTTTAACCAGTTAGTCCTCAATTTAGGTCCACCAATCAGGATATGAGTTACTTGAAAATTGTTGTGAAAAATTCTTCCTCTCATCGATATAATACCAAGTGTGTGTATTTTTTTTCTCCGGTTGGTAACATATTTAAAATTTTCTGGTGGCATGCCTGGTTGTCAAATTGCCATTTATAATTTATGACACCAAATCAGTAGTGTTGATATCTTCTTAACACGTTTGTTAGACGCACCCATGTTAAAATTTGTGCATAATTAATTGTTTTTAGGTATTAGGTATTAGCTGAAAAACGATAGCTAAAAACGAACGCAATAAAATATCCAATTGAACGAACGCAAAAAAAAAATAAACGTAGGCATCAATTCCGTATGGTGTTATTTAGATTAATCACACGGCTACCTGAATTATGCTTAAACACTATTTACGTCCTCCAGTTATTTGAAATATTCAACAATGTCCTCCCCAGTGGATATAGAGCGTAATTATGATAATTTATCACGGCGCCAAACCAAAGCAATTAAGTCACTTACTGCTTTCACAGAGCGGTTACTGTTTGAACTCAGTATAATTACCCTTGCATTTTACTTCCTTGCTATCTTGAATAATCAAACCGTCATTGTAAAGTTTTATGGATTGTTATCCCATTCATTTCGAAAAAGACTGCCAGAGGTAGTTTTACATAACGTGCTATTGTTATTTTTCATCCGGGCAAGATTGTATGGAAAAGAAGGAGCAATGCTCGTATTAAATTAAAGAGTAAGGAGTGTTCATTTTATTAAACGGACACCTTTAAAGTAACGCCACTTTTCTAATTTTTAATCTAAATTATTCCAGTTTTTATATATGAAAGCTTTAAGTTGTATCTATTAAATGCCATTTTTGTTTTCAAAATAACGTTATTTCTTTTTAAAATGAAGCGAATCGCCATTGGGGCAACAAAATTATCTTTGCAAAAATGATGCTACGAAAAATTTCCGTTGGGGGGACTGCCTAAAATAACTAAATGTTCAAAATCAGCAGTGTTCTAAATAATCAAAAAGTTTGGGGAGTTTAATACTTTAGAAGATTTGTTCAAATCCAGACCGAGAAAAGGCCCGCTTAACGAAAATATTGAGGAAAACATCATTAAAGTGCTAAAATTAACGAAATGTATGTATGTGCGGGAAATACCGAAGAAGCAAGGTGTTACCGTAGGTACTGTACAAAATATAAAGACTCGGAATAACATTAGAACGTATTAAAGCAAAAAATCCCAAAAAAGAAGCGAAAAGCAGTGCACAAAGTTTCAAAAAAAAAGCAGGAAGTTATAAACAATTTTGGTCAGGAACAAAAATCGTTGTGTTTTGATGGACAACGAAACGAAGGTTAAAATGGGCTGCAATACACTACCCGGCTCCCAGTTTTATAATGCAGTCGTAGGGGAAGATGTCCTCGATGACATGAAAACAAAAAAAATTGAAAAGTTTGGGAAAAAAGTCTTAGTGTGGCAACCGATTTGTTCTTGTGTGCTAAAAAGTTTTAGTTTTTTTTTACGATTGGAACAATTCGGGGCGATGATTACAGGAAAAAATGTATAAAAACGCGATTATCGTCTGTTTATTGCAAACATCATAACCCTCCATTGTTTTGGCCAGATTTGGCTTCGGTTCACTACGCTGGTGCCACTCAGGAGCTTCTTAATGCCAATAATGTACAGTTTTTAAAAAAGGAAGATAAACCACCCAACTGTCCTGAGCTTCGTCCACTTGAGCGATAATGAGCAAATATGAAATCAGTGTGAACAAAAGATGGCCGAACAACATCATGAGTTGGAGAATTTAAAAAAATGTGGCCTCCTGCTATGAAGAAAATCACAAACAAACCTGTGCAAACAGTGATTCGCGGTATTCGCGCAATAGTTAGAAAATTTTATAATTTCTGAATATAATTGATTAGAGAATAGGAATAATTATTTCATTTAACATTTTTAAACATTTTTATAACAAAAAAAATTAAATCAGCCCAAAGTACTCGAATTAGTAGCAATTTTTCAGTGTCCGCTTTATAAAATGAACATTCCTTAAAAGTATGTTTCAGAACAAATTCTTTATCAGATGACATTGTCTAATAGACCTGTCAGAGTACTTAAGTGAATAATTATTCGTACCCACTTAAGTATGCATTTGACTAATTGTGCGGTCCTTTTACATTAATCTTTGATGAATGAGAGCATTTGTTGTAGTCAATTGAAGAATTTTTATTAGAAACGAGGTACTTGCTACATAGATTAGGAAACAAGTACGACCAGAAAAGTTAAAAAACGGCAAAGCAGTTGTTGTAATTATTGAGAAAGACTGCATGCAAAGGCTGTCTTTTAGATTGCGGAGCAATAACAGTTGTCATCAAGTTAAAAGTCGAGAAGAATAAAATTGCTGTTCCCTTTGTTTCCGTGTTTGACAAAATAATTGTTAATTTCTGCATAAGCACACAAGTGTGTCGATTACTACCTTGTACAAGTTATTGGCGGTTTCCTGTCCCTTAAAATGTAGTACATTATTGAGGCATTGTCAATCACAGTTTTAACTGTTGTTAATATAGTGTCTGTGGTGTGCAAGCATGGACGAAAAATGCAGCAACCGATTTACCCTACAAAAACTTAATTACTCGTTATAAATTGCTCTGTGTAAGTAAGTGTATATGCATTAAAACTTGATTTTCAAGTAACTATGCAAATGCGTAATAATAACTACAAGTATTAAGTGACGTTATCGTAAAATTGGCTACAGAGTAAGCAAGTGTACATGTTGTTTGAACCAACAACAAACATTACTTACGTGACTTGAAGTACCGTTTTATGTGTGAAGAGTCTCTGGAAATGTGATGACATTCGATGTAAAAGTGCAACAGTGTTATGTTATCGTGCTATGAAATGTTAGCATTAATGATGTGTAAATATGCAATAAAGTACTTTTTAAATTTTTACACTTGACACAATTTTACATCGTTTGCTTTGTATCTGGTTTTATAGATTGCATATCCAGTTAGCAGGTGCTTCTTCGTTCTTGTTAGATTTTTTTTATATGTTTTATTCTTCTCTTCTGTTTTATATACGTAGGTCTTGATTTATAAGACTCTGTTTTCCTTTATGAGGTTGGGTGGTTTGCACTTACGTGTTTCTCTGCAGAAGACAAATTATGAGAGAGAATGATTTATTGTAATGTCGACGTGAGTTCCCTGAATGTGTATAGTAAGTATAAGTAGGTCTCCCGTTTCCGACATTTGTCTGATTATCTCCACGAAAAATTCAATGAAGTTGTCCCAAACTTTTGTCAAGCAAATTGTATTTAAAATGTGCAGAATAATGTGTTTCTATACGTGTGATTTATTAATCTACCTATATTTTTAGTCTTATTTAACAGATTTGTGGAAAGCATTTACCACTATACAACAAAATTTTGCAGTTCAACTTATGAACTATGTCAACGATTGAGCTGAAATAGGTATCGTAATAATTTAGGGCTACCATTTCACAGCTTGTAAAATACCGAAATGCAGGTTTCCCATTTTTGACTTCTGTCTTCTATATAGCTGACGCTGAAGCTATTCTACCGGTGGTTCTGAAATTTTGTGTTTTCAAATTATTATAAAAATGTTACAAATAATAAAAATTCGTCTGCTCACCTAATTTGTTTGGATAATGCTGCCAACTTTCCATAGGAAATACAAAAAATATTTCTAGATTAATTTGTCAAAAGCATTACAATTTGAAATTTCTTCAGTTAAAAATTGAATTGAACTTAAATTAGGTATAAAAGAGAATATATTAACTACTAGCTGACCCCGTGAACTTCGTTTCACCTACAACTTAATTTTGAATCTGCAAGCCGAATGCTTTGAAATCTTGCAGATGTTTTAAACATCTGGTAAGCATAATAAATTTTTATTCAAAATAATACTTACTTCCTCCAAAAAATTGATGACGTCAGCCCAAAATTTTGCCAAATGAATCCTTTTTAAAATATCCAAAATAGGATGAGACTATACTTGTGATTTATCATTCCATTCATATTTTTTAGTTTTGCTTATAGGGGGTGTCTCAAAAAAAATTAATTACTGAGTCAGTTTATTTTATTGATTGAATCAAGAATTGCAAAACTAAATTTTTAGATTTATTGCAGACGTTTTGAAGTTACTGTTTGACATGGTACGTTTTTAATTAAAATATATCTGTTTATCAAGCCCAAAAACTTGATGACGTCATCTCAAGATTTTGCCGAATAAATCCTATCTAAAATGTACAAAATATCATCAGTATATTTTCGTAAATTTATCATTGCATTCATATTTTTTAGATTTGCTTTTACAGTGAAAAAAAATGTATGGATCAGTCAATTTATTTTAGAAAATAACTCAAGAGTTGCAGAAATGACATAATTAATATAATTCATAATGTTTAAATATGATAACTATTAATATGTGATAATTAAACCGAAAACCATTTTCCTAAAAACACGAGGTTAGCAAAAACAAATTACTTTGTTTAAACATTGTTAAATTAACCCCGAACATGTACAATTTCTGAGCGAAAATATGAAAAATAATTTTTGCAATCTCATCGTGACGTACGATGACGCCACTGTCACGTGAGCCACCTGATAAAAGGTCACATTTTTCGGTCCTCTGCGTTTAGTTTTGATTTCGGTTTGGTGGCAGCAACATCAGAGTCCGTTTTGGCTTAAAAGTAGGGCTCTTTTCACGAATTTCTAATTTATATATTTAAATATTAGTGAAAATGTGTTGTATTA